TCTGTTCATAAGAAGACAGTGATGGAGCTGAAAGACTATCAGGATAGTTCCAACTGTGGCTGTCCCCTATTTTTATGTCAGTTTGATGTATAACAGTGAAAAGCACACTGGTGGTAGCAGCAGTAGGGATGAGAATAATTACCGGTTGCACTGTCAGAGTGACCAATGCCGACATTAGTATTGTCTTTTACTCATCATCTGTTGCCAATCATTGCTCAAAGGGATTCGATGGTGGTGAAGCATGTAGAACTCTGTTAGGAGACAGTCCTAGCACTTTAAAATAAGCCCACCTCAGAAAAGCAAACACTGCAGAAAAGCAAAGGTAACCATGCTATGGAAGGGCAGAAAGGGAAGAAGGAAAAGGTTATGTGATATATCAAACAGCTTTATTACTGTACGAAAAATGTAGGTGGTGTTGGTTTTATTGTTTGCCTTCAAATTTAATCCAGCAGAGTTCATATAAGGGGCACTGTGTCAGAAGGAGAGGAGCCGATAGAGCTTTGTGCTGCATGTACTTTCATCTGGCAAGTCTCACACCCACTCTGTTTGCCGATATGTTGTAGTAGGCACTCTGCAGCCAAAGTAGCAGCCTTTCAAACAAGACTGGCTGGTTGGGGGGGCTGAGAGGGCTTACTGGTAAATTGGCAGCCCAGGGAATACAGGGTACTCTCACCCCGGCGCTCACCCACTCACATGCTTTCATTCCCCTTTTTACCCTTGACCATTGACTGACTGCATTCTCTCTTAGTGGCCAGCATAAATCTGCCTTTCTAAGAAGTCATTTGTTCATTGTCTGTCCTCTTTTTTTGTTTTTTGTTTTTTAAATCTCCCTCAGCTTTCCAGTTTAGTCAGAGCATCATTCATTGAAGAAATCCATTTTTCTCCTCTTAAGTACATCCTTCCTTATCCTGTCTCGCTCCTTATGATTAATACCGCTCTCATTCTTCCGGCTAATTACATCTGTTAGCAACGACAAAAAATAAATAAAATAATACAAATATGTAGTGTACACATGCTACCCCAAAAACACAGGAACACACATGTACTCTCGGGCTCATGGATGCATACACTGTAGGCATACTAACCAAATCTGTTTGAAGTGTGGGACCCTAAAAGAAGAGAGGGCTCCTGCATGCATTAACTATTCATGTGACGTGTGGTGGGGTGCATGCATGTGTGTTTGTGCAGAAGGCTGAATGAGACAGTGAGTGTGTGTGTGTGTGTGGGTAGAGAAAGAGAGAGAGAGAAAGAGAGCACTCGCAAATTGCGCCGCAAGCAGCCAGCAATCGAGCGCTGACACCTCGTCTGGCAGTCGGAGGGAAAAGGGGCTGGGCTGAGGAAAGAAAGGGAGAGAGAGAGGGAGAGGTGGGAGGCAGGGAGAGAGGAGGGAATGCATGTGTGTGTGTGGATGTGTGTGTGTGAGAGAGAGAGCCAGGGAAAGAGAAATAGAGAGAGACACGGCAGGACAGCTGCCAGAATTTCTCCGATTGCAGGAGAAGGACTAAGAGGTGGAACAGGAGCAGGAATTCTTCTCATTCTCAGCTACTCAAGGAAATCTTGCAGCCCAGCCAGGAGCGCTGATTATTTTCCCTGCCTTCTGCCTGTAAGCAGTAGAGCGTCTGGGAAGGACCGAGGCATAAGGATCTGTAACCACTCACAGCAGACAAGTACGGTGGATTAACTGGATGAGGGGAAAAAAGCAGCCTATGGGATGACTGAAGAATTGGATGCAAAGAAAAAGTAAAACTGAGGACAAGCCAAGTTTCTGCGGTTTCTGAACTGCGTCTGAACTTTTGCAGGTGAAGGAGACACGCAAGGAGTTAGAGATGCTTTCGTAGTGCATGAACACAGGAGGTGCACATCCTCATCCTAACCTCGTCCTCACCTTCTCTTAAGAAACTCTCTGGATTACACCTTCACTGCGCACCTACTGGTTTTCCTGAAGGGCACTCATCCTGCCTGCCCACCTCCACCCAGCCCCACCTGCCGCTTGTTCCATTCAGTTACTATGACGCCCACGCCTCCCACTCGTCGCTCTCCCTCTGCCCCCCGAGCTTCTCACAAGCCTCTGTGAAATTAAGTGGAACGTTGATGATCGTAGCGAAAAGGACCTCTGTGCCTTGAGTAGCAAGCAACCCCACCTCGCTGTGTAATTGCTGAGTGTGCCGGCGTAGCAAATGTGCAAATAATGGAGAAAAGTGACAACACGGACAAGGACAGCAAAGTCGAACTCTATCAGTTGCCTGTTTTTTGACTATGAGCATAAACTAGATAATGGATTGGAAAGAGTTGTAAGTATCTCACAATGTGTGCATGTCGGGGGGGGGGGAAGCTTTGGCTCACTTTTCTAACATTCAACAGAATTCATAAAGCATGAGTGTATGTTCAAGTGTTTTCGGGCTTCACTTCCTCATACATATAGAGTCTCCTTTGAGCATTTTAGAGAAAGTTGTGAAGGAAAACAGCTTCATTAGCATTGAGATTGAGTGAACAGGTGGACAAGCTGTTGTGGGCAAAGAAATCTGAGCCTCTCTTCACTGCCTCTCTCTCTTTTTTTCCAATGACTGATCATATAGTTGTGTAAGGAGAGGAGAGAGAAATGAGAGGACGTGGGAGGGAGAGGTGGGGAGAGACAAGCAGTTTACCTGTGTACGTGTGACTGTGTTGAAAAAAACAAAGCCCTAGCATAATCATCCCTCACCTTCCATTCATGAACATGTGCACTGATTGTCATTGTGTTGCATGAATTAAAGCTCAAGGTTACAATCGCAGCTTTGGGCTGTGAACGCTACTCGCTGGTCAAAACAATTATAAATGAAGTGGAGTGGCTTTTTTTCTATGCTACTCTGCGGGTGCTGCTTGATTTCTGTCTAAACTCAAAGAGAAGAGAGACTGAGGTGAGGGGTGAGAGAGGGAGAGAGGCAGAGAGAGACAGAGGGACAGGGTAGATTTATCTTGAATGAATGTGCTGCGGATGCCTCTCATAAATGCGCGTACACACTCGCAGACTCGCGCCGCCACGTGTACTCTGCTATAGTTTCCCCTTTCTTTCTCTCCATCTCGCATTCATCTATTCCATCTCACTCCGTGTCACACGATCCGTCTCGCATGCTATCACACATAGGCAGCTCCCCGGGGAGCGGCTTCTCCTGTAGTCTTCTTGGATGCAATAATTATTCCATCAGCAAGCAGTGTGTTCGCTGATTGTGCTCTTGGGCTGTCACTGCAGGGGGTGTACAGTGGAGAGGGGAGGGGGTGGAGAAGAGGAAGCGGGGTGGGTTGTCACTCCAGGATACAAGGAGATAGGGACGAGAGGTGGGTTCTGTTTTTGGCAGCAGCCCATCTAGTCCTGTCCAGAGGAGCCCAGAACACAGCTAATGAGCTCAGGCTGGCCTTTTAGAAAAATGCTACTCACCAGGACATGGATCTGTTCCTTTTTGTACTCCAGATTTCCTCTTTTCTCCTTTTCATGTTCTCTATGTATTCTACCTCTCCTCAAAAACCTTGCTCTGCAGATTTTTCACATTCTATTCTCAACTTCAGGTCTTCCTTAATTCTCCGTGCCACACTTCCCTTCATGTTAACAACCGCCCCTTTGTCTTCCCCGTACTTCTCTGAAATCTGACTGCTTAAATGAAACCCATTTGAGTGCATTTGAATTACCTTTGGGTATTACTTTCCTTACTGACCTTGAATTACTGCCTGAGGTGTGTGTTAACTGATCTAGGGCAAAGCAAAAACTCGAACCACCTGGACCGGGGTCCCTGCAGGCCAGGCAGAGATATTGGTGTTGCCTATAAAGTTGAAGAGGTTTGCACAAAAAAGAATGACTCCTTCTGATTGTTCTATGGAGATCTTTTCGACTTTGAAAAGAGACCAGAATGACAGCGGAATTTAAACTGTGAAAAAGGTCAATTCACTTACAGAACTGGGTTCTGTTTGGTATCAGCAGAACTGTCATGTGACTATCTAGATATCACTAAACTAACATCTGATTATCGAGGTTGTTTACAACTTCCAAAATACATACATGCTGTAGGTTTGTCTCAATAGAATAGAATAGAATAGAAAACTTTATTTGTCAATTTCTTCAAATGTACTTGCCATACAAAGGAATTGAAATTACGTTTCACACTGTCCCATGCGCAGACATTGACAACAATAAAGTGCAGATGCACAACAAAAACAACCCTAACAATAAGGTAATAATACTAAATACTAAAACAATATGGGTCTTTTCTAATGCTTTTCTAGCTAACAATTACACATCAGGAGAACCTCAGTGCTCAGTATCTTGCCCAAGGATACTTTGGGATGCAGCCAGCGATTGAACCACAACTTCTTATTAGTAGATCATCTGCTCTATCTTCTGAGTCACAGCCACCCAAATGATGCTGTCATCATTGCTTAGCTGCAATGATTAGCAGAGAAGGACACAAGTATGCGGTAGAGGGAAGTGTTTCAACAGTCCTCAGCTGTCACATCCACGACAGTTTTTTTGCTGTGTTTGATCAAAATACGTGCATGTATTTCCTGTGGCTTTACAGTCTGCGTCTGGTCCCTTTGAGCAGAGAACCTGGTGACCATTTGTCTTAGAGAGCTGTTCTGTATAAAAACATAAAGGTGTAAGAGAATTCCACTTTTAGTTTAAGTCGAGAGCTGAAACATTATCCTTCTTGTTATGGGAGTATGAGTTGGGAGTTGAGGGGAAAGCATTTTTAGAGTGGAGAAGGGTTGGGAGTGGTGGCATAGTGTAACTCACCTCCTGACTTTGTTTACTTTGGCAGACTAAGAGCAGATTGTTGACCTTTATGTTAAAGTGTTAGCGTGTGGTTTTTGTCAAGGTAGACATTTAAAATCAATAACCTCTTGGTAGGGTACCTCCTCAAGAAAACATTACCTGAGAGAGAAAGAAAAAAGATTTGCTTAACTTTACAGCTTGGTAGTTTTCTAAGTATAGCTTTACTTTCAAGGCTTTTTTTCCCCCTTCCCACCTCCAGGGCAGCTCAGAAGCTGAATCTTTCCTCCAAGCGGAAGAAAAACCTGCCTTCCCTGCTTAACCTGCAAGAACCCTCCATCTACCCGACCAACTTCAGCGGTATCCTGCAGGTCTCGCCACCCCCTGCCCCACCATGTCTGCTCCGTGCTGTTTCCAAAGTGAAGGAAAATCCAGGGATGGGAAAGGTGAGAAAAGACACACACAGAGGCACCAGAGACAGAATGCTTTTAATGCACAACAGCTATACAACACGTGCTCTCATAAGCCACCATTCCCTTCCTGCCTTGCCCTGCAGAACTGCGTGCGCCAACATTTATGGATACACACAAACCCCTATTTGGAGGGTTGAATGCAGAGTGGCGACAGACTGGTCTGCAGGCAGCGTGCTGTCTGGTCCAGTCCATGCAGATGCAGCCAGATAAGCCTGCTGGAATGTCATGAATTCACTCAGTTTGTGTGACCAGCATTCCTCTCTGTGAACACAGAAAAGACAGTAAAAACGATAATTCACCAATCTGTGGTCACGTTAGCATCAAGACTCCTAATTCCATTTTAGGTGCAGTGTGCAGTGTTGAAAGTCAGGCTGCCAGCGATAGAGCAGTCATTAAACAAAGCTGTATAAACACATCTCTCTTCCTTTGTGGTTTATTGGGTATTGTTTGTCTGAGCTGGCGTCCTGTATTTATAAAGCAGAAGAAGTCCCCTAACAAGATTAGATCCCACCTGGACAGGAAGTGCTCGCTTCTGTTGCCAGGTATCCAGACGGTTGAAATTTTGCCACATATTGTAAATCTCCCATTGACACGGGGACTTCATAAAAAACCTGTGCTATTAACAAGCCTACTCAAGCTCACACCTGATGTATATGATCCATCTGTGCCGTTTAAGCAGCTGGTTTTCAACGGGAGATCAGGATTTATGACATTTTATGATATTGTTCCAAGTCTGCTTGCACAGATTTTCAGGTTTTCTTATAGTAAAGTAAACAGATCCGTGTGCTTTCCTGGTTTGTCTGCCTCTCTTTCACCTGTGGAATCGCACGTGAAATAACATTTTCAGTCGCTTTCACGGCTTCTCCGGATCTGTTTCATTCGAATTCAATCAATGTTTCCAATCAGGTGTAGGTGGGTCACTTCCACTTCTCCACTTTTGACCTAGACACAGTTCGTTCAGGTGTAAGGAGCTGAGTGGACGGAGTCATGCCAAGCCTCACTAATGGATTTTGTGGGGGATCAAGGGACAGGGAACCAGGGGCCATTAGCACGGTCTGAAATACTACAGCCAATCCTCTGTGGCCTCCACTATCTGATCTCTGCCAACGTAAATAAAACAGGGACATTAGCTCACTTGGTAGCCTCTGTCTGGTGGACAGACATGTGGTTGTCATATATGGAAGCCCTGTTTAAATGACATAGCAAATCTAATTGTTGTGACTGACATGTGCACTTGTCAGTCACAACAAGAGTCCCCTGTGGAGTATAAAGAGTGCTTGCACTTGGCCTGTGGTATCCAAGATGAATTCACTCAATGAAAGAAAGGGTTTTCCAGCCACATTGTTTGTGAGTGCAATATTAATATACGAGTCAGGGAAGAATGGTCCTTTTGTGTAGGCGTGAAGATGGTGGAGAGTCCTGAGCTGAGCAAAGCAGCCCTATGTCAAAAAGGGAAGAGAGTTGGTTGTATTTTAAGGGTTTTATTTCAGTGCCTGAGAGGCACCTTAGGTACTTTTTCAACAAGCTTTAAAATGACTCTGGATTGAGTTCCCTGTCATGTATACTGTAGGACAGAAGCAATTCAGCTGATGTAATGTTAGGCGCAGCACTAAATACTCTGGGAGTTGACAGGGACTCTAAAGACTGCTAAACATATCCAAAGAGCCATTTCTGTTCCCTGTCATTCACAGATATATTTCCAGAGAGCCTTTGGAGAAATAGAAGTGGCGCTATCTGACCATCAGATTGTAAAGGAATATAGAGATGTCAGAATTTCTAAAGAGGTGTCATATAGCCTGACACACATAAGCACACCCACACAAACCACAAACTGTGCATCTATGCATTAGAGACATAGATTGTCTGTAAAAGAGGTCCTACCACAAGGCATGAATGGGCATGTTAGTGAATCAACATCTTTAGATGCAAGATGCGATCATGTTTAGCGTACCATGTTGGCATCAAGAACTATATGTTGACCTGGGGAAGGTGTTAAGAATCTACGCTCATTTTATAAATATAATATGTCTCAGAATATAGCAGGGTGGGTCACTTGACGGCCAGTCGTTTTGCAGGCAATAGAGGGAAAGGAGAGAAAAAGGAGAGTTAGGAGGTGGAACAACAGGCAGGGAGGGCATATGCTCCTGCACTCCCACGCTGGTGAGCTGTTCCTGGTCCAGAAAAAACAATCTCTAGTGGGATAATCCCCCAGCAGGGAGCTGCACACACACCAATTTCTAACATTTTCAGCTGTGACTTTCAATACTCACCTTGCTGCCTTTTACTAACACCATTAGCCAATGTGTTGACCCAGGGAGAGTTTCCATGGTAACTTTCAGTGTCCATCAGCTCTGACAAAGTGAACGTGATCTTAATGCACAAACGCTGAAGGACCTTCAGTTTGCAACTTTTATACTGAATGCCTGCCATATGTTTTTCCCGTCTCTTCGCTTAGTGCACTATAATCAAAATGTCTGTCTTTTTGTCGTGTTTTTGTGCCATCTCAATTTCTAACACACCGCTGTTCTCTCTTTTTGCTTATTTGATGTTGCTTTAGGTGAAAGTGATGATGCGTATCTGTCCGTCTCTGGAGGCTGCAGACTCCTCAGAGTCTCAGTCTTTCTTGAAAGTAGACAGTAGGAAGAAGCAGCTGACCCTCTACGATCCTGCGTCCAGCCCACACTCTAGTTCAGGGCACAGGAGATCCGCCACTGTGGCCGTCCCAAAGATATTTGCCTTTGATGCTGTTTTTACCCAGGATGCTTCACAAGTAAGGGCCAGTCTTTGTGTATGTGTGTGTGTATTAGAGCAAGAGAGCTATTTTTCTATTTGTTATCAGGGAATTCAGCCTCTCAAGGGCAAAGGGACGTCTTTATACTTGCAGGGTGTGACCAGAGGCTTAGAGAAAAAAATGCCTTTCTTGGGTCAAGGGGCATTCTTAGCAACATGGGCCTAACAGCTGGGCTTTTAAGCCCTCTACGGAATGATTTGAATCCACTCCACTTATATCTAACCACTCCTTTCATAGGACAGCTATATCTAACCTCAGCCATTTGGAAGACACAGCAGGCATAAGTGCTGAGATCAAAGTCAAAGGTCAGATATACAGTATGTTTAGTACATGTGAGTTAGGAGCGGATCAGATTTGCTCTCTTCTCATATTAAGACAAACACCAAAATCTTTTAAGAGAATGACTCAATCTGTTTTTGCTCAAAGACAAAATTAACAGAAAATCCAAGGTACGGTAATCTGAAGTATTGTTTGCATGTCGCCATGGTGCAGCGAACTCTAAATAACTATGACAGCAGAGTGTAGGATGTCATCACCTGTGTAGGATATCCAGAAAAACCTCAGATTTTTTTGCCTACTTTGAGCAATTTTTTAAAATTAAGTAAGCTGCTGATGGCTAAAGACTAAATGTTTCTGCTACATAGTTGAGGCCAAGCTGCTAGATTGTGCTGCTGGGGCAGCACTGCTGGTGGCTAACAGTAACAACAAGCTGTTCTGCTGTTAGAGGTCTTGTTTGCTGTGTGATGTATGGGAAGGGGCCTTTGCTGCTGAAGCCTTGCCCCAGAGGACCTCTGCTGAAACAGATTGCCTCGACATGCAAGACACGGAAACAGACGTTAACAAACAAACACACACGCACTTGAGTGATGAAAAATACTGAAACTAATAACATGAATTGGTGTAAGCAATGCCAAATGCTCACTGTGCCTGTTTTACAGTGTTCCTCGAATTGCAAACTGACTGTGAAGGGCCTGTCTCTTTGTGTTTTTCCACAGGCTGAGGTGTGCTCAGGGACAGTAGCTGAGGTCATCCAATCTGTGGTGAATGGTGCAGACGGCTGCATCTTCTGCTTTGGCCAAGTAAAGCTCGGTAAGCTTCTCCACTGGCAACAGATTAGAGAAGTGCCTTTGTTAGCCAAAGAAAACTCTCATTGCTCTTTGTTAGCTACACTTGATGTCCACAATTGGCTTAGCGGTGCACTGGGGTGAGTCAAGGAATGGGTGATTGAAGGAAAAGGAATGGATAGTGAGTCTGGTGTGGGGGTGAGGGGTAAAGTGCTGCATTCAGGCTTCAGGGCTCAGTCTGTAATTAAAATCTTAGTAATTGGCCTGGCCAGTGTTCTTAGGCTGAAGGGCCTGCTTTTCTCATGCAGCTGTTTCCAGTTTCTGTAATTCTGTGCAGAATGGCTGTGTCTGGAACAGGTCCTTGGATTAGCATTTGATTTAAAGGAAAAAAGTTATTATTTTATTTTTGCCTTTCCGAATATTACCTCAAATCCTTCACATCTGCCATTATTAATTTTTTTTCAGCACCATTTGTTTAGCAGAATAACCCTTCAGAAAATATCCAATGCCAGTGCCTATTTCTTTGTGAACTTCAGGCCTATTTCAGACAGGTTGATAAAAGAAGCAATTTTATTTTGAACATATAGTGAGTGCAGCCGGCTTCCACACACAAGGCAATATTTTTATCCCCCCCTCCTTTCTTACATCCTCAGGCAAGACATACACCATGATTGGCAAAGACAGCTCCACTCAAAGCCTAGGCATTGTGCCCTGTGCCATTTCTTGGCTCTTCAAGCTCATCAACGAGCGCAAGGAGAAGACGGGCACGCGCTTCTCAGTCCGCGTGTCTGCAGTGGAAATCTTTGGAAAAGATGAGGAGCTAAAGGACTTGCTGTCTGAGGTGTCGTCCGGCAGCCTGCAGGAAGGCCAATCCCCGGGAATCCACCTGAGAGAGGATCCCATCTGTGGCACTCAGGTGAGAAGTGTTCCATCTCTCCACTTTTTCTTTGTTCACTGATCCTTTCATTCTCTCTGTGGGTTATAAAATATTAGTCTGACTGAGTATTGATCTTTTACTGTCTAGGCTCTAGCTCTTTTTTCCCCTCAAAGATGTTTAAAGTTCTTCGAGTGCAATGTGTGTATATATATGTGTGTGTGTTTTTATCTCCCGTGACTTCCTACCCTACCTGCTCTTAAAACCCTTGCTTTATATTTTCTACCCAACCCTTCTGTGGTATTGATGGCTTTCTTCTTACCTTTGTATTGACTCTTCTGTCAGCATCCGTCAGCATCTATTACTGATGTATTAGTGTCAGCCCTCTATAATGCCATAGAAGTATTACTGGGTGTGTGTGTGTGTGTGTGTGTGTGTGTGTGGTGGGAGTGGGAATAGCAGAGGGGGGTTGTGACTGTATGTTTGAAGGCTCTCACAGGTGTTGCTGTCAGATGTTGTTTTTGGGGGATATGCATGGACTCTAACTTCAAAGGGTGTGCAGTACTATGAATCTCCCTCTTGCGCTTTCCTTCAGCAGCTATGTGTGCCTTCTCTCTTCTGCCTCCTCCTTCCTTTCCTTCTGTATCCCACCACTGCCATCATCACATCATGTTGAGGTGAAGAGCCCCTGCCTCCTGCTCCACTATTACCTCTCCTAATCCTCCTCCCACTGTGTGCATATCTGCTGTTTTAATAGCCCCTGAGACCCAATCTAATGGGCAAGAAATGTGTGGCAGAGTCCAATTAACTGGTTACCTTCTCTTTCTCGTTTCTCTCTGTCTCTCTTTCTTCTAAACATCAGTCCTTTTTCGGATACCCTGACCTTATTCTCTGGTTTTCCTTTTCGCCCTTCAGCTTCAAAACCAGAGTGAGCTTCGTGCCCCAACTGCTGAGAAAGCCGCCTTCTTCTTGGATGCAGCCATCGCTGCCCGGAGCACCAGCAGACCGAATGTTGATGAGGACGAGCGACGGAACTCCCACATGCTGTTCACACTGCACATTTACCAGTACCGCATGGAGAAGACTGGAAAAGGGGGAAGTTAGTATTATTGCATTACTACTGCCCTGCAGCATAGGACCAGAAAGTTGTCCCTTCAAATTTATAGTAGAAAATTATAGAGTGAACCATGCGCAAGCAGCCAGATTAGTGAATGAAGTCCACACTTGCTCTAAAAAGTACTAAAATACAAGATAATCTAGATTAAAAGGCGCCTCCATTTAGTTATCACTAATTGTTGTTGGTTTTTTTTTTTAAACATAAGCTCTTTAGATGGCTAAGTGGATTTGATCGCACTTTAGCTTTTAATGGAAAATCGCAGGCTCTTTTTTGCGTTTGATGAATTCATTCTGGTCTCTGCAAAACAGAAATGTATTTGCATGCTTGTAATACATTGTGGTTAAGAGTAAGTAAAGCCTGCTGGTTTATGAACAACATCAATCACCAACAGGATAATGTGTAGCTCTGTGATTTACAAGGACAGACGCTGGCATTCGCCCTGTCTGCATTTTTAAATTATTCGATGGGGGACTGTGTTTCTAATTGTCAGTAGATTCTCTCGTTTTACGTGTCTCACCAAAGGAGACTCCTTGTTGCCATGAGTTACACATCTGGTGGAGGTTTAGCAGTCTGGCTGCAGTCTTACTCATAAATAATCCAGACAGCTCAAACACAGCTATGCCACTCCTGTCATCAGGGCACTTTGTAGAGGCAACTTACTCGACATAGGGAGTGTCTGTTTTGCTCACCTGGTTCTTCTTCTGCCGTTGGCAGTGTCGGGTGGACGAAGCAGGCTGCACCTTATTGACTTGGGGAGCTGCGAAAAGGTCCTGAGTAAAAGCAGAGATGGAGGAGGAGGCTTGTGTCTTTCCCTGAATGCACTGGGAAACGTCATAATGGCTTTAACAAATGGAGCGAAGCATGTACCCTACAGGTGAGAACACCAACATGAGGTTTTAGAGTCGGCTGCGTTTTAGCTTCCAAGAAACTGTATCTATATGTTAATTGTTTCAGGCAAGTCACCGCATGTGTTGTCAACCTTGCAGGTTTTTCTGTACGACTGTTCAGTTTGTTTAGTTAGCTGCACAACAGCTTTCACTGGGGTTGCACAAGATTATATTGTAGTTACTCAAGTATGAAAAGATTAATGACTTGTCATTTGGGAGTGTTTTTCAGCTCGGAGGATTTAACGTGCCTGCCCCAGTAAAAATGTTACTGGGCTGTTTGCTAATAACAATGTAAATGCTCCCTGTAGAGACAGCAAACTGACAATGCTGCTGAGGGAGTCCCTTGGCAACATCAACTGCAGAACAACTATGATTGCCCACATCTCAGATTCCCCAGCCAACTATGCTGACTCGCTCACCACTATCCAGCTGGCATCCCGGATCCACCGAATGAGAAAGAAGAAATCTAAGGTACGCCGTGTAAACATGTGCAGTAACACACTGATAAACCGATGAACAAGCAATATGAAATTCCAGTGACACCACTAACGATGCATTTGTATAATTTAAGAACTTATTATAATCCTTATAAATCTTAATAAAGCTCCATTTAATGTTGCTCATTGTTTATAAATGATAAATGAAGAGTAATCGTTATTATTAAACATTATTTCATCATTAAGTGTTGCTATTGTAGCAATTACATTCCTAATGTGCATGCGTAACTTTAATTACCTTCATCATAAATCACAGCATTATTAAAGTCCTTAAATTTGTCTTCCTCGTGTAATTTTGGAGCTATTTCGCAAATGAATGTGTTAATGCTCCCACAAATGAAATATTATTAGTGCAGTAAGTCAGAGCTAGTTTCTCTCAGCTCCTCAGCACATAATCATGTAATCAATACCACCGCCTAAGGAAGTGTGTGATGTATTCCCTTAGATTAGGGAAATATATGCTCCAGATAATTAGGTGAAATGACAGCATGTATTTATTTAGTCCCCATTATGATTATGATGCAGGCCGCAGACAACAATTTGCATTATTGACATTAGTTTCTGTGGGGCTATTGATGTGCACTTTTAACCTCTAGATAAATATTGACCGGTAATATTATAGGAATTAAAATATGCTCTGAAATGGATTTTGCTGCAAAGTAGTAAGATATGAATCTGCTCTAAATTATAAGAATTAAAGTGATTTTGTAAATTGCAAAGTCTATTATGTTAATTTTCCTTTTATCATTTTGTGAGATCATTTACAGATCTCTACTCTGTTCTAACTTGGTTTTGCAGTATGCATCTAGTTCATCTGGAGGTGAAAGCTCGTGTGAGGAAGGGAGGATCCGGAGGCCCCCCCACCTCAGGCCTTTTCACCCTCGGACAGTAGCCCTGGACCCAGACCTGCCCTGTTTGCTCAGTGACCCAGAATACTCCTCTAGTAGTGAGCAGTCTTGTGATACTGTTATTTATGTGGGCCCTGGGGGAACTGCAATCTCAGACAGGGAGCTTAGTGACAATGAAGGCCCACCTGCCTTTGTTCCAATTATCCCTTCTCTGAACAAGAAGAGGTCTGCAAAAGAGGGCCCTCTGGACAGAGACCATTTCTTTAAATGCAACACATTTGCTGAACTGCAAGAGAGGCTTGAGTGCATAGACGGCAGTGAAGAACCTACTGCTTTTGTTGGAGAGGGAAAACGATCCCAGGCTAGCCCCAAGATGGACAAATCTAAAGAGAGCCAAAGCTCTGTTTCACCAAAGACTGTAGCAAATATTTCTTACAACCAAGAGGGTATCTCACCCAAACAATCTCCTAAATCGGTCCCCCCGCAGCCATCTTGCAGTCCCAGTGCCAAATCTAAAGTTGACAGTGCCAAGAGGCAATGCATGCCTGTGGAAAGGGTACCATCAGAGAGTGTTCAAAATGTTTGCAGGACCAGGGCTGATGGTGAGAAGGCCTTGGTTTCAGAAAACAAGGTTAGTGCAAACAAACTGGCACCTGCCGCTGCCCCACCTACTGAACCTGTGGTGAGAGAGAAGATTTACTCCAGCAAGAAATCCTTGCCAAAGCCAGCCCCGCCTCCTTCACAGCAGAGAGAAAATACTGACAATGAGGAAAGATCAAGCACCAGAATGCCACCTGTTGGAATGAGTCACCAAGCTGCGAAAAGAAGGGATCCGTGCACTTCGCCTTTACTTAGAGCTCCGGTGGAGGTGTGCCAGGTACGCTCGACGTTGAGGGAAAGATGTCTGGACCGGGACATCCTTAGAGCGACCGTCACCCTGCAGCAGCCTGTGGAGCTGAACGGAGAGGATGAGCTGGTGTTCACTGTGGTGGAGGAGCTATCTATAGGCAGTATAGTAGATGAAGGCCGGCCATCAAGCATTATTAGCTTTAACAGTGACTGCTCTCTTCAGGCCCTGGCCTCTGGTTCTCGACCTGTCAGCATCATCAGTAGCATCAATGATGAATTCGATGCCTACACATCAGCCGCTGGAGGGTCAGAGGTGAACATTTCAGTGGTCACAGCCCCTCAGGAGGGAGGAATGGCGTGTATAGACAGCAGAGGTTCATCTATCAGTTCTTGGCTGAGTGAGGTTAGTGTCTGCACCTTGGAAAGCGAAGGGGCTCATTCCACAGACGTCTTCCTTCCACAGGCCAAACACATGGGCCCAGAGGTCACCGTTTACTTTGACTCCCTGGATATGTTTAATTGTGTCTCCTCGCCTAGAAATGCCAAGAACTCCCTAAATGACAGCGGATTTAGTTTTTCTGAACTAGACAGTGATAGCGCCGCCTCAAGCAAGCAGTCACTGACAAAGTGCCCCCCATCACCAGAATCAGCAAAAGGCTCCCTAAAATTTACATCTAAAATAACTAAAGCTCACTCGCTTAGCTCCTCCCCACAGGGCCCAACTATAGTCCACTCCAGTCTTCCCAGGAAGATTAAACCTACCTCATCTATCTCTCATAGCAGCAGCAGTAGCAGCAGCAGTAGAGAGCCACTAAGGCAAGAGGTTAAACAGGAAGATCCTTGGAAGTGCATTGACAACCACTCTGAACCTCAATTTTCTGACTCCAGCAATACCAGCAAATTTCTCAGAAATCCCCCCAGTGGCATCCCTTCCAGCAAAACGTCCAGCAACACCAACAGTGTACCTCGCTCTCCCAATGTGCAGGGGTCTACCTCAGCCCAAAGGGTGGTTGATGGCTGTGAGAAATCAGCCAGCAGGAATCCACCCAGCAAAATGCCTCAGCTGAGACGAGGTGCCACCACCCTGGGAACAGTGCCCGTCATTCATTCCACCACGGACTACAAGGGAAGCCAAGATATTGTTGCATCTGCCACAAGCCTTAAATTTTCCTCTCTGGGGAAAAACAAGGCCAACTCACAGAAAGCGAGCAATTCCGCTAAACCCGACTGCACCATGCCTCCTCCTCCTCCAGTGAGAAAATCCAGTCTTGACCATAAAACGAAGACACTGCTGCCCCAAAGTGCCTTAAAGACAGCATATGGGGAGGCAGGAAGGACCTATGGAGCGAGGGCGGCTGTATCAGAAGATGAGCTTGAGGTATGCCACAGAGTAGACGGTTTCAAAACCTCCAGCCTCAACACGGCCAAAGTTACCTCCAGTTTGAAGGCCAAAGGGCCTAGAGGAGAGGCTGGGCAGCACTATGGCAGTCAGATATCACTGGAAAGGTGTGAAAGTCTGTCCTTATCAGGTTCCAGAGCTGCGCTTAGTAGAGAGAACAGCGGGGCAAGTCTTGGCAGCAGTAGTAGCAAATCAAGCAAGTCCATTTCGCGATTCGGTATTCCCAATTCATCCAGCGCTCCTATTGCTTCCTGTCCATCCTCCCCAAGTGGAGGAAATGTCAGCAAACCTGGACAGGTAAAAGCTTCTGTAAATCCTAGGTCATTGGGAGCTGTTAATGGTTCTAAGGCACGTTCACTATCAGCCAACAGCTCCAAGGGCTTAAGCTCATCCACAAAGTCTTTGGCCGCCCCATCTACCAGAAACACTAATGCCAACCTCCCTCCTTCTGGACGGACATCGGCTCCTCGGACCACCGCTGCAGTCACCAGCAAGCCTGGAAGAGGCACTATCATGGGCACAAAGCAGGCCATTAGAGCTGCAAATAGCCGTGTGAGTGAACTGGCAACAGGCAACATATCAGGAAAACACGTGAAAGCTTCAGCAGACTCAGACAGTGGGAATGACAGCGGGGTGAATGTGAGTGATGACAAATCCCCAGTAGCCATGCTGCCTTCTCCATACAGTAAAATCACAGCACCCAGGCGGCCTCAGCGCTACAGCAGTGGCCACGGCAGTGACAACAGCAGCGTGTTGAGCGGGGAGCTACCTCCGGCGATGGGACGCACAGCTCTGTTCTACCACAGCGGTGGCAGCAGCGGATATGAAAGCATGATCCGTGACAGTGAAGCCACAGGCAGCGCTTCCTCTGCCCACGACTCTATGAGCGAGAGCGGCTTCTCATCTTCAGGGAGAGCAAAGAGCTCCAAGTATCCCAAGAAGAGAGCAAACGGTGAGAAACTAATTTGGGATTTCGGGGTTTTGCAAGTAATCTAGGAATGGGTAATATTCACAAATATTGTGATATACATTTCGTGGCACACACCCGAGTAATAAATATGTGCTGTCTCAGAGGAAATCAACCATAAATTTGTGGATCCATTGTTATTACAACCACAAATGGGCATTTCATCGGATTTTGTTTCCTTCTGAATCAGCAGCATGCATAATTCATACGTAGAGTAAATGCGAAAAACGTTAATGAATGTTTCAGACAAGGCATCTTTGATGTGTGTATTGATCAAATAAGAGTTGAACATGGGGATTTTTATGTAGGCCATTGTCTCGTGTATAACTGTTTCAATTCATGTAGGATAAACCAACCTTTTGAATCCACATATCTCATGAAACTCTTATAAGTATGCAGTCGCCACAGCTCAACCAACCACTGTAAAGCCTTGCATCACTTTATATCTCAGAGTGGGATTTATATATATTTTTCTATAGATCCTAGCAAATGCTGCTGTTGTATGTTAGCAATCTAATTGGTGCCTGTCTGCCTGGTGCTTTAGGCTTCCAAAGAAGACGGCTAATCCCAGCACCCTTGCCAGACACAGCATCTCTGGGGAAGAAGGTGAGCACAGCAGGTCAGTGGGTGGACTTGCCTCCTATGTCTGGACCACTGAAGGAACCCTTTGAGATCAAGGTGTATGAGATCGACGATGTGGAACGGCTCCAAAGGCGCCGTCAGGAGGAAACCGCAGAGGTGAGCAGACACAGGTCACAGCTGGCTTGTTTTGCTGGTTTAGTGGTTCATCTTTCTGAACCCTGTTTTGGGTAAAGTGAAGTCTGGGTTGATGCCGTGTAAATCCCACTTGCTAAGCCTTAGCAGCATTTTGCATCTGCAACATCAATGCCATACATTAAGATACAATCACACTGACTTGCAGTGTGGGAATTTCTTAGCTCCCTTCTCCCCAGCTTCTTTTTAAAGAACAGGACAGGAATAATATGTCCCAGACGTCTGACCTTCAGCCAGCTCTGTGGCAAATCCTGGAGTTAAAATGTCTGCGTCTCCAGATTCCCAGTGCTTGGTATTTTGGCAGCACTCCTTGGGAATGTCAAGAGTTCAGTAGGCAATTACCAATGAGGGTTAATTGGTCTGAGTATGACTGATTACTCGCCTCACTGCTGAATGTGATGGTGATACGGTGGGGTGTAAAAATGAAAAAGAAGACTGCGGTGAAAAGATTGGTCAGAGAATGTGCGATGATTGCGAGGACACCTGACACCGACCCAAATCAGCTCAATGACAGCAGTCATCACTGAGCAGTCTGCATTGCTGACTCCTCCTGGGTCATTAACTGTTTCCATGAAGTGCAGCTGGAGGGGGATATTTTTAAACGTATACATATGAAATCAATGACAGGAGGTGGTCTGATTTACTTTTCTCCTCATCATCAATGTCAATTTAGTTCTTTTACTGTTTTTTGCACCTATTACAAAATTCCAGTTAAAATCCATTGCAAACAGAATGTTTTAATATATAACACTCTGTCTTGTCCAACACACTAACTTGTTTTATTGGTTTTTTTCCAATCCCGTGTTCAGCAACCATTCCAAGACGTTGACAAGGTGAGCTCGTTTTTCAGAGAAACTGATGTTTAATTAAAAGCAGCACAGACTGTATTACCAGCGAGCCAAATGTGACATACAAGCAGTATATTATCTGTTTGACTTTATTTCACGTTTATCAATGAAGTTTACTGATAGCTTCCCTTTTTAATGCAATGCAACCTTTTGAACTTTTTAACTGCATTTTTGATAGTTACTTAAATCAGTATAATCTGTCTTTTTCCCCTCAGGGCCTGCTGTATTTTAACAGTAAGCTGAAGATGCTTGAGAGAAGGCAACAGCAAGTGAAGGAAGTGAGGGCAAAGCATCAAGTGTTATTGGAGGAGCTGGAAGACACGAAGGCCCGACTGATGATGGACCCCAGCAAGTGGATAGGAGAGTGTAAGTCACTTCCTTTGAGAGTAAGATGACAAATAAACTTTGGTAGCAGACAATGTAACTAAATCCTGCTTTCCTCATTCCAACAGTTGAGGTGGACCAGAATTTGGATAAAGAATCTCCAGAGTATCTGGAGGCCTTGACACAGGCCACAGAGGAGCTGGAGTTCTGCGTCAACCTGTGCAAGGCCCGTGTCATGATGGTGACGTGCTTTGACATCAGCATGTCAACACCTGGCACTCAGGAGGGGCTACGTGAAGTCGAAGTCTGAGGACAAAAGTAAGTAGGAGCGGGAAAGGAAAGGAAATGGAAGTGAGAAGAAAAAGAACGATGAAATGTAGCAGTCAGTGTGTAGAAGTCCCTGGGAAGAAGAGCAAAAGACGGAAGTGAGATGAGAGTGGATCTTAACATGTAAACAGAGGAAATCTTGACCACCTAGCTACAGTGCCTCATTACCAGGACACGGCAGAGGAATGACACATGAGCACAAACGCTGTTGCCTCTATGGCAAAGCAGTGGCCATCACCTACTCAAGAGTCAATGAACAACACCTGGAAGTGCCTTTTTTATTGTTTTGTTTCGAGTCGTTATTTTTCCTATGGCGCAGGTATCTTAAGCGTACCTACTCCCTGAACATATTGCTTTTAAGAAAAATATTTTATATTCCATTGTATAGTGTATTAAATGAATATGTGATGTGTACAAATGTCCTTTTTATGGGGAAAAATAAAGAAAAAAGAAAAAAGCAATAAGCTAATGTTATTGCTCTCCCAGACTGCCTTTTCTCTTGTTTCAAACCTCAGTCAGCATTTTATCCATGATCATTCAGCCTCCTGCGCCTTATGTTAACTCTCTGGTTCTGTAGTTTTCTAAATTTTCAAACTGGACTATGTTATTTCATCAAGGACTGTATTTGCTGTCATCACTCATCTCCTGCCAGCTGTCCTGTGAAAGCTGCTTGCAGGGTAGAGTGAATGTTTTTTTTTCTCCTCCAGTTGCCTTGTTCAAAATGGGTCTCAGTGGATGCACTTAGGTAGAGCAGCAGTTTTGTTGTGGGAAGGAGAGTTTATTCAAACTGTGCTTGCCTGTGTTTATCTCACTAAAATAAAAGTTTAAGCCAAAACATATCAATCAGAGGGGCACTGTGATGGACGATAAGTGATTGTTCTTGATTCAGCCATTCTTTCTGGTGCCTCAGTATGTGGTCATGCAACGTAACCTTCCCTCCACTCACCTACAATGATCATATGATGACTGGTTACACTTCTACCGGTGCCCATCAGTGAGCCCACTATTTCTCTAAATGGGCTTTGACTGGGGGCTTTTTATATACTGTAAAATAAAAAGGAGCACTGATGAGCACAAGTCAGCCAGTCTGTTAGACACTACTTCTTTTTTAAGTGCTACCAAGCCTCAGCTCTATGCATTCCAATACATTTACTGCAACTACAATAAGAACCTCATTACCGAGTAAGGGCAACCACCTAGTTTGTTCTCTTTTGTCCCTACTCTACTAATCTACTAATTATTGACGTTGATCTAATGTCTCAAACGAAGACTCTAGAATTTCTCCATGAAACGATACAGTGAAAAGCAAAAGATTGCGGCATTATTTAGCAAAATCAATCATGGCATCAGCTCTTCATGGCTGCCAGAATGTGCTTATGAATCAAACAGCTGACACGGAGACAAAAAAGATGATTGGTGAAAATGATTGTTGAGAAAAACAGACTGGCTTTGACGTATCTTGCTGTGTTTGACTTCTATATCTATGACAAATACGACTTTGTTTTCTTTGTTTTACAAAGATGGACTATCTCAGGCCCTCTCTGAAGATGCTGCATGAGATTTTTAATCACTTTTAAGAATGATTTCTACTCCATTTTTTACCATTCTAATTTTTTACAATAATTTCTGTGTGTTCACTAATGTGGGGTTATGCTCATGAATTAAAGAACTATTACCAAACCAAGACCTTTTTTCCAAGAAATTATTATATGTAAGGTCATATTTCATATCAAAACCCATATTTTCTAATACCTTTCTTTTTGTATAGGATTTTCAGACCCTGTGTATAAATGTACAATATGGCAGCTTGTGTTTTACTTTTACAGTACTTGTGAATAAAATGTTCCTTCCTACCGATGATTCGGAGTTGACTTTTTTCACCCTTTCATGTGTTTAATACTATTTATTCTACAATTATTTTCACAAAATTCCAAATAAATACCTTTACTACAGTGGTAGCTTAAAACAGCAACTAACCAGGAGAAACCTTTGCCACAGGATTACAAAACTAGACATGGCACACTTTCCCTTTTGTTTTATGTTTGTTTATTCAGCATCTTCTCTTTTAAAATGAATGCGTGTAGAAAAAAGTGCTTTAGTGAATGAGCAAGTTGTTACTCTATGGTATGGAAGCCCGTTTCCG